ACACACACTTGCAGGCACGGAGTAAGACAAATAAGATATCCCTGGTCTGATGGTCCAGTATATGTCACGCAATGCCCAATCCCTACAAACTCGAGCTTCCTCCAGAAAATCATACTCACTGATGAAGAAGGCACACTATGGTGGCACGCTCACAGCGACTGGTCACGTGCCACTATACACGGTCCTATATTCATTTTGCCTGTCAACGACACCAACTACCCTTACGAGTTTGACGAACAACACACTACAAAAAAACATGAATTTTGCGATGGAAATATTTTGTCGCTAATTTGCGACAGATTTCTAATTCCGTCGCAAATTAGCGACGGAAAATTTGCGACGAATTTTGCGACGGAAAATAAATCTGTCGCAAATTCCGTCGCAAATTAAATCCGTCGCAAAATTCGTCGCAAATTTGCGACGAAAAAATTCCGTCGCTAATTTGCGACGGAAAATAAATCCTTCGCAAAATTCGTCATAAATTTGCGACGGAAAATTTTCGTCGCTAATTCCGTCGCAAATTAGCGACGACTAATTTTTCGTTGTAAATTTGCGACGAATTTATTTTCTGTCGCTAATTTGTGCAATGAAATTTACCATTTTGCGACGAAAGTAGAGACGAATTGGATGATTGTCACAAGTTCAAATTCAAAAGAGATTGGACGATTTGCTACACGTCCAATTCTAAGAGAGATTAGATTTACAAATTCAAATTAGATAAGAAGATCTATTATAAACTCAAGATATTAGATAATCTCTTAAAATGTTCTCATCCCAAATAAGCTTTTTTAGATTCGATAGGTGCAAATCTTATCTTTTCTTTTTTCAAGACTTAGATATAGATAACGCAGATATCTATTTAGTTGAATGTGGCGGTTTCCTCCGCACGTAGCTCTTATGTATGAGTAAATATATGGGTAAATAAATTATAGCAATTTTCAAATAGATCGGAATCGGGTGGATGTATGAAATGTAAAGTCAATGTATCTATATAGGGATATCTATAGGAGATCTTATAAAAAGAGATATTCTTATTTAGCCCTAACCAATTTGATCTAACCAATTAGATGAATTACTCCTAAAGGGTTACATCCGAACGATAAGTGAATAGAGGGCATGCATTCTATTAGAGAAATATTTAGAAGATTCCCTATATTTCCTTTAATTGATTGTAATTGATATTTTCTCCTTTAATTGATTGTAATTGATATTTTCCCTTTTAGATAGTCATCCTATAAAACCGATAAATAGGTTCGTGTACTCTTCATTTGACAATGATATATATATTTTTTGCTCTTAATATTTTTTATCACATTCTTAACTTGGTATCAGAGCCCTATTGTTATTTGAGAAAGCGTCAATCGAGTCTGTTTGTAACAATGACATCCACATCAATCATATTTCTTCACAGTGTTCGTAATGCTAGTCACATTATATGTAAAAGTGTAGAAGCATATCTACTCAAGGTTTCGACGGAATTAGCGACGGATTTGAAAAATTGGTCGGTAAAAACATTTCCATCGCTAATTCCGTTGCAAATTTCCAACGGAAACAAAATCTGCGATGGAAAAAAAAATCCATCTCAAATTTTGCGACGGAATAAAAAAGCAGTTGCAAAAATTTGTGACGGAAAAACAAATCCGTCGTAAATTTATGATGGAAAAAAAAAATCCGTCGCAAAAATTTTATTTCCGTGGCAAATTTGTGACGGATTGTTTTTTCCGTCGCAAATTTGCCACGGATTTTTTTTCCCAGTCGCAAATTTGCGTCGGATTTTATTTTTGGGGCAAATTTGCGACGGATTTTATTTCCGCCGCAAATTTGCGACGGATTTTATTTCTATCGCAAATTTGCGACGGATTTTTTTTTTCCGTCGCAAATTTGCGTCGGATTTTATTTTTGGGGCAAATTTGCGACGGATTTTTTTTCCGTCGCAAATTTGCGACGGATTTTTATTTTCCGTCGCAAATTTGCGACCGATTTTATTTCCGTCGCAAATTTGCGACGGATTTTATTTCTATCGCAAATTTGCGACGGATTTTTTTTTTCCGTCGCAAATTTGCGTCGGATTTTATTTTTGGGGCAAATTTGCGACGGATTTTTTTTCCGTCGCAAATTTGCAACCGATTTTTATTTTCCATCGCAAATTTGAGACGGATTTTTTTTCCGTCGCAAATTTGCATCGGATTTTATTTTTGGGGCAAATTTGCGACGGATTTTTTTTCCGTCGCAAATTTGCATCGGATTTTATTTTTGGGGCAAATTTGCGACGGATTTTTTTTCCGTTGCAAATTTGCCACGGATTTTTATTTACCGTCGCAAATTTTTGGGGCAAATTTGCGACGGATTTTTTTCCTGTCGCAAATTTGCGACGGATTTTTATTTTCCGTCGCAAATTTGCGACGGATTTTTATTTTCCGTCGCAAATTTGCGACGGATTTTATTTCCGTCGCAAATTTGCGATGGATTTTTATTTTCCGTCGCAAATTTGCAACGGATTTTTTTTCCGTCGCAAATTTGCGTCGGATTTTATTTTTGGGGCAAATTTGCGACGGATTTTTATTTTCCATCGTAAATTTGCGACGGATTTTTTTTTTCCGTCGCAAATTTGCAACGGATTTTTTTTTTCCGTCGCAAATTTGCGACGGATTTTATTTCCATTGCAAATTTGCGACGGATTTTTTTTTCTGTCGCAAATTTGCGACGGAATTTTTTTCCGTCACAAATTTGCGTCGGATTTTATTTTTGGGGCAAATTTGCGACGGATTTTTTTTCCGTCGCAAATTTGCGATGGATTTTTATTTTCCGTCGCAAATTTGCGACGGATTTTTATTTTCCGTCACAAATTTGCGACGGATTTTTTTTCCGTCGCAAATTTGCATCGGATTTTATTTTTGGGGCAAATTTGCGACGGATTTTTTTTCCGTCGCAAATTTGCATCGGATTTTATTTTTGGGGCAAATTTGCGACGGATTTTTTTTCCGTCGCAAATTTGCCACGGATTTTTATTTTCCTTTGCGACGGATTTTATTTTTGGGGCAAATTTGCGACGGATTTTTTTCCCGTCGCAAATTTGCGACGGATTTTTATTTTCCGTCGCAAATTTGCGATGGATTTTATTTCCGTCGCAAATTTATTTTCCGTCGCAAATTTGCAACGGATTTTTTTTCCGTCACAAATTTGCGTCGGATTTTATTTTTGGGGCAAATTTGCGACGAATTTTTTTTTTCCGTCGCAAATTTGCGACGGATTTTTATTTTCCGTCGCAAATTTGCAACGGATTTTTTTTCTGCGACGGGAAAAAAATCGGTCGCAAAATCCATCGCAAATTTGCGACGGATTTTTTTTCCGTCGCAAATTTGCGTCGGATCGAAAATTTTCAGGAACCCGCGCGCTATCCCCCCTCGCGCCATCGTCTCCCCTTTGCTCGCTCTTTTTATTCCCCCACCACCACAGCGTTCCCCCCTCTCTCTCTCTCTCTAACTTCTCTCCCTCTTTCTCTCTCTAGCCTCCTTTGCCGCTCCTCCGCCATGATCCGCCGCCTCCACCAGCCCCACCTCCTCCCCTCCGACTCCCTCGCCGCCTCTGACGACGACGACGCCACTGCCAAGCGCGGCAAGAAGCGCGGCAGCTACAACTGTGGCCACTGCGGCCTCTCCAAGAAGGGCCGCTCCTGCCATGCCGGATCCTCCCCCTCCCCCGCCGACTCCTCCTCCGCCGCTGCCGCTGTCGCGGCCTCCTCCACGTCCGTCAACGCCGCCGCTGTTGCCGCCTCCTCCGCATCCGCTGTCGCCCTCACGCCGTCCTCGCTCTCATCCGCCACGTGCTCTCCTTCGACGACCTCGACGTCCGCGCCGATGAGGAGGAGGAGGACTTCGACGAGGTGGAGCCGGATCTCGACGAGCGGGATCGGGATTTCGTGGACGGGGATGCGGACGCCGGCGGGTTGCCCGCCAGGTGCTTGTGGGAGGTCCTGAGGAGGTTGCCACCGGCGGAGCTGCTCGCAGTGGTGCGGGTGTACAAGGGGTGGCGGGAGATCTCGAGGAGGGTGTGGTGGGCCGCCGAGGATATGAAGCTCGGGGTTCCCTCGAGAGCTCAGCTCAGACCGAGAATTTATATTAAAGCATGTACTATTGTTGCCAATATTCATGTACTTGATATCAGAGGTTAGAAGGAACTCTGCAAGGCTGAGTTTGTGGTAGATATACCAAGTTTCAGTCGTGGATTAGATACAATTTGCATTGTGCCAGTTGTGAGGAGGCCAACCTGTAATAAATTTTTGCTGCACATTCGTAACTATTTTTATAATTCGTTGCTAATTTGCGACGAATTAATAAAAATTCGTCGCTAAATTCGTTCCCGAACAATGTTCGTGGCAAAATAGCGACAAATTTTGCCACGAATCAGTTTGTCGCAAATTATTAACAAAAAAAAAAGAATTTCGTGGCAAATTAGCAACAAATTTTGCGACGAAAAATTAGCGATGAATTTTACGATGAAAATTCGTGACGAAAAATTTGTGACAAATTTTGCGATGACTTTTGCGATGAATTTTGCGACGGATTTTGCGACGAATTTTGCGACGAACTTTGCGACAGATAGTGTTTGTGGCTAATTTGCGACGAATTTTGCGACGAAATATTTGCGACGATCTTTGCGACAGATAGTGTTCGTGGCTAATTTTTGCGACGAATTTGGCGACGAAATATTTGCGACGGATAGTGTTCGTGGCTAATTTGCGACGATTTTTGCGATGAATTTTGCGACGAAATATTTGCGACGAACTTTGCGACGGATAGTGTTCGTGGCTAATTTGCGACGATTTTTGCGATGAATTTTTTGCGATGAATTTTTTTTTCGGCGCAAATTTGCGACGAAAATTGAAATTTTCCGTCGCAAAAATTTGTGACGACCTAGTAGCGACGGAATTTTTTCCGTCGCTAAATTCGTCGCAAAAATGATTTGCGACGGATTTTTGCGATTTTTTCGTCGCAAAAAACATGTTTTTTTGTAGTGACACAATCGTGATTTGTATGTTGCTTTCAACTAACTTAAATGACAGATAACAGTTTGCATTGTTTTTCTAAACAAAATTATTTTGTGGCATGTAGCTGAATGGTATGCGAGAGATGCGATGGACATAATCACTGAGGCTCTTGAATCCGGAGGCGATCCAGACTTGTCTGTGGCCTATACCATTAATGGTCAACCCGGAGACAGTTATACATGCTCTAATGGTACTAATTCTCTTATATACATGAGTTTGATATATAAAATTAATAGTTAAAAGAAAAGGTCTTATTCATAGGTACTGAAATAAAACCTTACTACTCTATAATTAATGAAATGAGATCTTTGCGAAATTATTATGCCTTAAAATTGATTAATGATGATTGATATATAGCACGAGTAATTTCAAGATCTCCGTCAATACTATTTAAAATGGTGTTGCAGATTCGACGTACAATATAACGGTGGTGCAAGGAAAAACGTATCTCCTCCGGATCATCCATTCGGGGTTGAACGAAGAGATGTTCTTCGGCATAGCGGAGCACAATATCACTGTGGTCGGAATGGATGGAGCATATTTGAAGCCACTTAATACCGATTACCTCATGATAACTCCCGGTCAAACGATGGACGTTTTGGTCACCGCAAACCAAACCCCCGATCGCTACTACATGGTATTCAGTCCATTTGTGGACACCAATGCCCCGTCCAACGAAAACGTCACAAGGGGGATATTCGAATACAATGGCACTTATAACCACTCGGAGACTCCCGTGTTACCCGTGCTTCCAGGTTTTACCAACAAGAGTGACGCTGGAAACTTCACTATTTGGTTGAGGAGTTTAAATAGCATAGAACATCCGTCCACGGTTCCGACCAACATCACGAGGAACGTTACCATCACGGTGTCTGTGAATCAGCAGCCATGTCCTGCTAATAAAACTTGTACTGGTCCAGACGGCGCTATGCATTCGGCAAGTTTGAACAACATAAGTTTTTGGGCTCCATCAATTAGCATTCTCCAAGCATACTACAAGTACGTAAATCGCTAGACCTACCAATTTTGATCCTATTTGTTAGTATTGAATATCTTTCTCAGACCAATAGAGTTGATTCAGGCCGAAATATTCTTTAAATCAAACCAATTTAACCGATTACAACCTTCATTGTCTTAAAGCGAAGGCATAATTTGACATCTAAATGTCTCTATAACTATATGTTTCTGGTGTCTACAGTAATATAAGTGGAGTCTACAACAAAACTTTTCCGAATAAACCACCTTTCGTGTTCGACTACACCGGAGACGTATCTGCCTTAGGGGAAGCAGCCAATGTGAGCACCGAAGTGTTGATGATTAACTATAATGAAGAGGTCGAAATAAGATTCCAAGGGACCAATTTTGGGGCAGCGGAAAATCACCCCATGCATTTACATGGCTATAGCTTTTACGTCGTCGGAATGGGCGATGGAAATTTCAACGACTCCTATGTATCGGATTATAATACAGTAGATCCACCCTATATTAACACTATTGGACTTCCCAAAAACGGGTGGACAGTGATCAGATTCAAAGCTGATAATCCAGGTACTACGATTGCATCGGTAGAAACACATAGAAACATATAGTTTGCACTGGTTTAGACTTGTATATGAATGCATGATTGACAGATTAATCTTTTACGGGTGCTTGCAGGAGTGTGGTTCATGCACTGTCACTTAGAACGCCATGCAAGCTGGGGAATGGACACAGTCCTTGTCATCAGGGATGGGACGAACGACGATCAGAAGGTGCTTCCGCCACCCGAAGACATGCCTCCTTGTTCCGGATCATAATTAGGATGTTGTTTGCTTTGAGTTCTTAGGACAAAGGTATTGATATCCCACAGGGAATAAATCATCTGAATGTTGTATCGTGCTTTGCTGTAAAACATCACTCTAATAAGTTTCAACGGAACATTTGTTTTGGCAAGTAGAAAGTGTTTGTTCGATTCCACAATTGTTTTGAAATGTATTTGTACGCTGCCGACAATGAACCCATAAATTTAATCAATAGGGGCGAAATTTACGATGATGTTGACTATAAGGATAATTTACAAGCCGTTTCAACAAGTTTGTCAAACAAAATTGGCATAGTTAAATAAATTTAATATGCAAAATAACATATGTATTGAACAATGTCATAGCCAAAAATGTGTGACAACTTGCAATGTTGACATGAAAGAGTCAATACAAGTGGAACCATTAATGGCCAGATCTATTATCCACAGAGAAAACATTAAGTAGTCCCGCTCCACCACAACACGCAGCTGTAAATCACTCAGTGATCAACACATGGTGCCACGTGTCCAGGGGCCCACTCGTCAGTCTTTTATCTCTATTTTCTACGCCTTGCATTTTACTTCTTCTTCTTCCTTTTGTTGACACCTAAATTCTTTCCTAAAAATCATTTTCGAAAAGATTGAAACTTTTCTTTCCACAAAAATATGTTTCATCTTAATTACTTAGACATTTAATGTAATTTGGTTCAGGGGAGTAGTTTTCTTAAAATCTACTTTCCCAAAAAGAAGGAAGGAGGGGGGGGGGGGGGGGGGGGTGGACGGTGGAGGAGAGATCTGAATGTAATTGTAACTAGCCAAGCCCTAAAGAGTTTTATTGTAGTTGAACCATAAAGTTGGGGCGAAAATGCAATTTCCAAAAGTTGGGGGACCAATTCGTAACTTTTATAAAATTTGCCCAAACTCTTAAATTAATCATTTCTATCATTTTTGATCCTTGATTAAGCTTGAAATTAAACTCGAGCCAGGTCGAATTGATATCAACCCCAAATGACCAAATTGAATGAAATTGGGCATTTTCGGGCAAGAAAGTGGCCAACTTTGAGGGACTCTTTTGCAAAATTGGGCAAAGAAAATTGCGAAGTCTGGTCAGGGACTTAAATTACTACGCATCAGCTTGCCAATTGATAAAAATTTCAGCCAAATTGATGGATTAAAGCACTTCAATTAGCTGTCAAAACCTAATCCACGATTTGGCCACAATTCAAAGCTGCTAAGTAAGCAACTTCATGGCTCCGCCGTATCTTGCTCCGCTGCCCAATTAGCCTCATCTCTGGCTGCGGTGAAGGAAAATAATTAGATGGGCAAACGGACAAAAATTGGCCAGGTATAAGCTGTTGAAGGAGCATGAAAGTCGCAACCAAAACAGCTCACTCAACAGCTGCAAAAGTTTGAAAATTTTGGCCTAGTGAGAGAATTGGTAAAAGCAGCTTAGTTAGAAGGACCGACCAAAAGCTTGCTTCGTTCAGTGGATAAGATCTATGAAGCACGCTTTATTGAGGCATAAAAGGTTCGACACAAGAGACAACTGGGGGAGCTCGTGGTCGTCCCCAACAAACACCCCCACAAGCAACTCTAAAAACAACCTCAACCCCGAAATTCCAGATCGACCATTTGTGAGAAAACGAAATTTTCACAAACTTTCAGTCAAAACCTTCAACTAGAGAGTGAAATTACAGTCAAATATCTTTCCAACCATAGGTCACAAGTCCCAAATAGAGGTCGGGAAGGCACTCAAAAGCCCCTCGAAAATCGTGTTACCAGCAAGTAGGATTGGAAGCTTAGAAATTGTGTTGAAATCAAATGGTCACTGGTTAGGGAAGTGAGAGTGGTTTTTAGAAATTGAGGGACATCTAAGGAAAACTATGGCTTGGGAATTAAACTAGAATACATATAGTTGGATTAGGTCTCAAAGGATATGACAAGAAGGTTCTTAGAGCCTGGTCTTGGAGGCTAACAAAAACCTTTGTTGTCAGTTTTCTTCATTGCAGATACCATTTTCCTGATTGAAAATGGGCCAACTTCCAGGCATCTTTAGATGACCATTTCTTGGCTTCCTTGGCCAAGAGCTACTTCGCACAGCAACTAGGAAGAAAGGTAAGGATCCAAGATGTATTTTTGTTCCAATTTTACCATGTTTTGACCGAGAAAAATCTTGAGGAAAACCAGCCTTAGAAAACTGATTCTAAGGCTGGAATTTTTCCGTAGTGTTGAACCAGTTTCAGGTATCTTTCATGTTTGACATGATATGCTACTTTACACGTATTATCTGTCTTCGGGAGACTAATTTATGTTATATGGGAGTACAAAAGATGCTTAGGTCAGCTTGGTTTGGTCTTTAAATCTCTGTGTGAGCCCTAAATGTGCTTAGAACTTGAACCAAAAACTTAAGGTGGTACACACTGGTTCATGGCTGGCCAGTGTGGACCATGCATGTAGGCTACTTGGAGAGGTCGCTTAGATGTGCGTAATTGATCGTTCTCCATGATGCTTGTTGCATTTGAAATTCCATGTTACATAATTTCATTTGGATCCAATATATTTTCATGCATGTCTCGCATAAGTGATAAGTGTCAGGGCTTGAATCTGGCAGGCAACCTGTTTGTCTAACCTGGGTTCAAACCCAGATTTCTTAAAACAGGTCAGACCCATGATTTTAAGGCTAATTCTGATCATGTTAGTGTGTGTTTTAGGATGATTTTTCTTGTTAATCTTGTTCTACACATGTTTTAGGGTAACCCTGATTCTTTGTTGCTGCTTAATATCGTCTATAGGTCGAGATTGAAAGCCATGAACATAGCTCAATGTAACTGGTGTGGGAAGTGTGATGCGCACTAATTGTTCGACAAAATGCTCGAACCAAGTTTCAATCTTGAAAAGGTTAATTCGAGCTTGGTTATTGTGATATTCATGTTCTGAGTTGATCCATGTTCATGTGAATCAAGCATAGTCCGGTTTAATGAATTAAAATTATTTTTCAAAAAATTTTTTAAAAAAATGAAAACTCTGAAAATTTTTGAAAAAAAATAAAAAATGTAGGATAGTATTAAATATGAGGAAAAATGATTTTTTTTAACGTACCTAATTGTCCAAAGTCACTTTCCTAATTTTTTTCCTATTTTATGTCTTATGGATTATAATAATCACTTTTGTAAATAACTCATTTTTGCGTAGATTAGAATTATTTAGTGTAATTTCATGCATTTTAAGTAATTTCATGCATATTTAAATTTCCACTTCACTTACAGGGGTCTTGTCCTGAGGCATAATAACAAGGCCATGTATTATTCTTTGCTCGACATCGTATCGAGTTTACTTTCTGCACTTTACTTCCTAGTTTTAATTATCGTACTTGATGTGTGTGCTTATGGGGGTCGTGTTCCTTTTAAATTAGTTGAATGGTTAGGCTACACGTTGAGATCATAATAAACACCAAAACATTGCATGGACACTTAGCGGATGCGAATTTTAGGACTCATAATTTTTAAAAAGATTGCATAATCAAGTTAGGGTATCGAAAGGGCATTAGTCGAATAATTAGTGTAATCAAATCTTCAATCCTAGATCTCCGGATGCATAAGAAGTGAAGTATCCTCCAGCAATTAACTTGGTTTCTATCTGACTCCAATAGTCTAGTGGTGACTCCCATTTCACATTGAATCTTTTAGGCTAAATCGAAATTTAAAATGAAAATAATGTTGTGAGAGGTAAGAGCTTGGGAGAGCCTGTACCTAATAGAGGGCTGTGGACCCGCCTTTTGGGCAATACCCCTAAAACTATCTTTTTCCTGACCGCGTCAAAAAAGAGATCGCGACACCTTTCATTCTCTTCTTCTTCCTTTCTTCCTTTATACCACCGCCATTGTCAATAGCCATGCCCCCACAACCAGCCACCCTGACCTCATGATGGGCTTGCCCGACTGTAAATTGGATATGTTTTTTTTTTTTTTCCTTGTGGATTTAAGGAAGGAATCATTTTGAGTTTCTTCCCATTGGGGGTTGCTTGTTCCGGTTCTAAATTGGAAGAAAAATCTGAGTGTTTTTTGTGGAATTTCAATTGCTTGTGGAATTAAAAGGGATATATTTTGATGGGCATTTTGATTTCTTTCTTTGTTGGATGGCGATTCCCTCACAAGCAGCAACTCCGACGCGACGTAGTACGGCGTCCCACCCACACCCTTTGCCGTCGCCCTAACCTCACCGCCAAGCCAGTCACCAACCCGAAGTCAGCGAGCTTCGGGTTGTTGCGCAAGTCGAGCAGGACTTTGTCTCGCTTTGTGTCGCAACGGACGACCCGGAGGCAGTGGCAGTGCATGACGGTGGAGAGGAGGTGTTTGACGAAATGGCAGGCCTCGGGCTTGGAGGGAGGGCAGTGGGCGATGAGGTCAAAGATCGGGGTGCAATCACAAAAGTCGAGGACAAGGGAGACAGACCTAAATTTTGAAATATTAGAGAAAGTGAATTTTTGGATTTTTTAAGGGGACTCATCTGCTGACGTGGCGCCACATGTCAATCTCTGAGTGGCCCGGAACTTCACTGACGTGGTGGGGAGGAACTACCTAATTTTATTTATTATTCACTTAATTACCCCGTTTTACAGACCAAGAATGATTTCAGTAGCATAAAGAGAGTTTTTTATTATTCTCACTTCTTCTTGTTATGATTGTGCACTATTCAAGACGACTTTTAGGCTGTAATATCATTAGTCAGTCAATTAGATGGGTGGTTGGAAAATTAACATAAGAGAGGATCAGTGGTTGCCAAGAGGTTTGTGCGAACAGATAGGATCCAACTCACGTATTCGAACTAATGGTCAGGGAGGAAGCCAAATAGAATGAAAATAAGGTGAGAGAGGTTTGACTGTGAAACAAACCAAGAAATTTTAGCCATTCCCATTAACCCCTAACTTCCAGAGGACATACTCATGTGGACACCAACCAAAACAGGGCAGTTCACAGTGAAGAGTGTGTATAATAACCTTAAAGCATAGAAAGAAACACCAAATCAAAATCGAGCATCATCATCGTACCAAACCCCTAGAGAATTATGGAATAGACTTTGGAAGGCAGACTTATAACCCAAAATTAGATTTTTTTTCTTTGGCAAGTTTGCCAAAATGCCCTAGCAACTAAGGAGAATCTGGTTCAGAAATGGATAATACCTCCAGCCACTTACTTGATATGTCAATAGCATCTAGAATCTATCGAGCATCTTTTTCTTTTATGCCCCGGGACTCAAAAAATATGGAACAACCCATCAGTAAACATTAAAGTCGATAATTACTCGGTGACTCGAATAGAGGAATGGATGCTCAATTTTAAAAATGCCTCCATATCCACATCCTTTGAGCTCTTGCTTTGTTATTATGACATCTGGAAATCTCAGAACGACTTGGTGTTCAAAGCTCATAAGTTAAATCCCCAACACATTGTCACCTCAGCCATCGCTGCGGAGAAAAACTTCAGCAAATGGTCAGAGAAAACGAATGGAAAACTGCAATTACAAAAAGAATTACCTCCGATTTGGACCCCTCCTCCCCCATGGTGATTAAAATCAACATCGATGGGTCTTTTGTTGCATAAACAGGGGAAGAGGCCATTGCGTATGTATGCTGAGACAGTCAGGGTATCTTGATAGGTGAGTTTGCTCAATCGGTAAGACTCTCGTCGGCGATCCAGGCAAAGGCGGCTACTGTGCTTGAATACCTAAAACACTTCGAAGTAAAAAGTGAACTCAGATCGAATTGATCTGGTGGAGATGACAAGCAAGGGAGCAGATCGAGTGAGTTGGGAAGCTTATGCATTGATCACCGAAGCCCAAGCCTGTGCAAAGGTGTTGACACTTATTTCTAATTGCCCAATTAATTGCACAAAATTAGGAATTAAATTTTTGATTCCTAAAACAAAATGATTTTTATTCAATTGCATTGCGTATAGACATTAGGTACATTTTACATTATTAGAATGTATTTTTTCTTCTTTTAATTAAAAAATTAAAAACAATAATAATAAAAAATCATATCAGGCCGGGTCGGGCCAAGGCCAGCCCAACCCGACCCCCTCTTCCTCTTCCCCTTAGATGCGCGCATAGCCCATCTCTCTCTCTCTCTCTCCTCGCGCGACCGACGGCCACAGCTGTTCCCTTTGCCCACGCACGGCCCACGGCCATTCCCATTGCCCGCGTTTAGCCCAGCCCCTCTCCTTCTCTGCTCTTCCCCTCCTTGTTGCCATGGAAACGAAGATTCAGAGAAACAAAGCTTGCCTCCCTGCACTGATCTAAAACGGCATTCGTAGAATTGGTTTTACGATTGATTGGACAATTTTCCACACATATATATGTGTATGTAAATGAACTCTACATCCACATTATAATTTGGGATTTTTCACGGTATTAATCCTAATTGGTATATCTGTGATAAATTTACCCTAAATTAATTATTGCCAATTAAGCAAAATGACTAATTAAACAAAATGACTAAAAAGTGGTGTCAAACTCTAATATTGCTCAAATTTCAATAACTTTCCATTGATTATGACTCGAAGTTTCCATTCGATTTGGAATCAACACAAGTTTGCGATCATTGGAACAATCAGAATGTTTGACAGAACATAAAGACACAATGGTGGATGACTGAATATGCAAAATGATGGCCCGCCTAGTGCTTGGACGAACCTGGCCACCAGGTCGGCGCCTGACAAAGAAGTGACCGGGCTGCCGGCCAGGTTCTGGTGCCTGGAAAATGCCCAGAAGCTAGAGCGCTTTGTAGTGCTTTGGCCATCCGCCCAAGCCCGTTTTAATAGACGCTTGCCCCCTATCGAGGACTCGATTCAAATGACTTTTAAACCCTATTTTGACATCTATGTTGTACACGATTTGTAATTCTATGCCTCTATCGCACAGGCACTTTTAAATTTCAATTCACCTACTAATTCATAACACTCCTCAAACATCGGCCTGGCCTCACTCCACTTGAGACTATCACGAAGAGCATTCCGGCAGCAACCAATCTGATTGTCCTTGTATCGCATCTTCTCCATCGAACAGCAAGTCACCACTGCTGCGATCACCGAAGGCTGGTAACGGAGAAACCTCGAATTGGAGATGAGAACGAGAAGGGATAGCTCGAACAAGGTCAAGAATTGACCCATTTGTGAGCTGATGCGAAAGTGAAGCCTTCCAATGATGTGATCTAGGAAGGAAAATGGAGTGACCGGGTTCATCCTCCACTCGAGCGTAGAGAGCACTAAAAGTTCCATTCTTTGGACCGTCTTAGGCTCAAACATATAGCTTGGTCCCTCAACCTGCGGAAATAGTATAGTGTTCTATTATCATCATCGAATCTACTTCTCTATAATGCAAATAATTGAAATAATTACTTTTTAAAGCAAGCAGAATGACAAGCAAAAAAATAGTCACCAGATCTTAACTTACTTGAAGAGCTGAAAGAGTTGGAACATTGATCTCATTAACTTTGGCAGCCAAAGAGAGACAAGCAACAGCCACCAACCGCACCATCCATGGCTTCATCTCTACAACCCGAATGCTCGCAAGAAACCGGTCGTATTAGTCGACCGACAGGATCTCCGTGAAGAAAGAAAAAGCGTAGCGTCAACACACTCAATAAGTCCACTTTATCCCCTCTCGACAAGCCCCATCGAGAGCCGAGTGCTCTTGAAGATGATCTCGGTAACTGCGAAATAGGTGCTCGGAATGTGCTTGCTCTTCTCTGGACAAGAGGGTTTGAAGCTCAAGCTCATCTTCTTCCTCTTGAAGCTTCTCCTGTTTCATGAATCGGTAGTGCAGAAACGATGACGATTCTGGGTCACTTTGTTCTTTGGTTTGCTCTTCCATGAACCAATGTTGCTCACTGCAATGAAGATTCGGACTATCACGCATGATTGGTTGGTTCTGATTCGACTGTGTGAGTCTTTCGAGCCCTTGTCTCTTAAATCTAGCTTTTCTAGTCAGCACTTTTTATGGGTTAACCTTCATTGACAGATATCAATATGTCAACATGAAGTAGATAATACATCTTGTAATTATGTGTGTACAGAGAGACTTATGGTTTTTTTTCGGTAGAATGAGAGACTTTGCGGTTGGGATATCATTAATTGAAGAGTTGATGATGGTACCACTGTTGGGTTCCTCAAGTGCTAAAAACGCAGCGGAATTTATAAACCGAAACCCTAGACAGGATCCATGCGTATATTGAAATCTAAACAGAAGTTCGACACGTACCTTTTTGCAGATCAAAGGTAAATTGACAATCGATTGTGTTTGGATTAGCGCCCCAAGTGTTGCGCCTCTACCGGTATCCACACACACGAACGGAAGTCTCCAATGATCTAAGACTTATGCCATGTGTCATCGGGAGAAAACCTTTCTTGGAGTCTTGCATATTAAACCTATTGATGACTTTGTCAACATATGTACTTTGACTCAGTCTAATAAGTCTCTTAGATCTATCTCTATAGATCCTAATCCCCAAGATATAGTTTGCCTCTCCCATGTCCTTCATGGAGAAAAATTTTCCTAGCGATGTCTTAACTGACTGAAGCATAGGAATGTCGTTTCCAATGAGTAGTATGTCATCTACATACAACACTAGAAACACAATTGTACTCCCACTAGACTTCTTGTATACACAAGCTTCTTCTTTGTTTCTGATGAAGCCAAACTCTTTAACAGTTTCATCGAAACGAATATTCTAGCTTTGTGATGCCTACTTCAATCCATAAATAGAACGTTAAAGCTTGCATATCTTCCTAGTGTTATCTGGTGATGTAAAGCCTTCAGGTTGTGTCATATACTCATCCTCCTCTAGTTTTCTGTTAAGGAAAGATGTCTTTATATCCATTTGCCATATCTCATAGTCATAATATGCAGCAAACGCTAGGATAATCCGAATGGACTTAAGCATGGCCACTGGCGAAAAGGTCTCGTCATAGTCAATCCCATGAGTTTGTTTGAAACCTTTAGCTACTAGCCGTGCTTTATAGATGTGAACCTTTCCATCCATATCAGTTTTCTTCTTGAAAATCCAGTTGCACCCTATAGATTTGACACCTTCGGGTGGATCAATCAAAGTCCAAACTTTGTTTTGATACATTGAGTCCATTTCGGATTTCATGGCCTGAAGCCATTTATCGGAGTCTAGGCCCATCATAGCTTCTGTATAAGTCGTAGGTTCGTCATTTTCTATTAACAAAAGATGACGATGTTCAGTCACAAGAAAACCATATCTCATAGGCTCACGATGTGTTCTTTCAGACCTACGAACTATAGGTGCCACTGAAGTAGACTCTACAACTCTTTGTAGATCTAATTGAGGTTCCTCATAAACTGGAACACCCTCTTGTGGCACAATAACTTTTTCGAGGTTTACCTTACTCTCACTGGTTCCTTTAGTAAGAAACTCTTTCTCTAAAAAGACACCATTTCGAGCAACAAACACTTTGTTCTCTGATAGATTGTAAAAGTGATATCCTTTCGTTTCTTTAGAATATCCCACAAAGAAGCATTTATCATATTTGGGTCCAAGTTTATCAAAAAGTAAACGTTTTGCATAAGCTTCGCAACCCCAAATCTTTAGAAAAGACATACTAGGAACTTTTCCTGTCCACATCTCATATGGTGTCTTCTCTACAGCTTTTGATGGACTTCTATTTAGTGTAAACACAGCTGTCTCGAGTGCATATCCCCAGAAAGATAGTTAGTGGTCTGCCCTAGGAATCAATCAAGGTTGATACTCTAATATTAGTTGTGGATTAGGTTGTGTCAGAAAACCAATCTTCACTATACTTAGGTAGCCATAATGTCTTGCTAGAGACCGCTAATGACTTGTAGGTCAAAAAGGGTTTTGAGCACACTGCTAATGTTTAGTGAACCTACAGGGTCGCACACAATAACAAACTGCGTCAATATTTTTTGTGCGGCGGGATCTACTTAAAATAAGAAGTAGATTTTAAGTTATTCTCCTATTCAACTTATCTACGCGGTCGTGCACGTTATGAGATAACGATTAAACGTACGATTGAAGGTGGACAGTTTGGCGGACCCAAATTGCCCGGCCCCACTTCTTTTAATTCGCATAGATAATGAGGCTATATATATATATATATATATATATATATATATATATATATATATATATATATATATAGCGTGTGAGTGACAAAAAACCCTAAGAAAAATGCCTCCAAGAGAATACGAAGAGAATCGTTCTCTGTTCAGAGATCTTTGAGAGATTCTCGAAGATCAAAGGCGATCAGGAAAAAGAAGTCCAAGATCTTTAGCTAGCACTTGGATCGTCGGAGACTTTCGTTCGTGTGTATAGATACTGATAGAGGCGCAACACTTGGGGCGCTAATCCAGACACAATCGATTGTTAATTTACCTTCGATCTGCAAAAAGGTACGTGTCGAACTTCTGTTTAGATTTCAATATATACATGGATCCTATCTAGGGTTTCGGTTTATAAATTCCGCTGCGTTTTTAGCACTTGAGGAACCCTACACCACACACCTATCAGGATGGTCCATCGATCCGCGCACACATATATATAATTACCCGAGAATTCAGAGATGTTGATACAATGTCAAGAATTCATACATTTTAGGACAAATATCGATGACTGGACCGCTATGATAGTAATTTCCAGTAAAAATTGATTAGAAAAACTATATTGGAATTTTACAAAAAGAATTAAAATTAAATTGGCAAAATTGAAAAGTTTAAGGCTGAATTGATATCCATACAATAGATTTATGATCAATTGAGTAATTTTGCCTAGGAAGGTTGAACCCTTAAATTTCTACGATGTCCTTAGTGTATCCATATTAAGCAATCAAATAGGAAAAAAAATTATAATTTCAATACACTTCAATTGACATGTATAATTAACAAGCACCCGTAAAAGTTAGCATGAGCATTAGCGGTTTTACTATCAATGGTGTACTAATTTAAATCTATACTTAATAAGTATTTTTATAAGGAGACTCGTTACCATGGACTTTTGGGCTTTATCCTTGATAGTGAATTATATAGGTATAAATATGTACGCATGGATGTACATATTTATGTAATAAAAAATTGAAAAATTGATAATGAAAGATCTGAAACTTGCATCGGTCGATTCCTTTTATTATAAAACATTTTTTTGGGTCATTTAAGTCCTAGAACTTGTTGCTATCCTTCAAACTAATCTTTCCGCAAACTCGCCCGGCCCTCACGTGGAGGGCGCAAGGGTTGCCACTGCCGCCAAGCGAGGTCAGCAAACGTCGTTGGGGACAAAGGGGCGGTACTCCTACCCTTACCCTTCAAGAAAAAAGTCGTGTGAAAATTATAATAATAATAACAATAGTAATAATAATAAATATTGCGTAATTTCATAAGTTTTAGGACTTAATGGATCACCCAAAATTATTCCTAAGAAGTTAGATCTTCTTGGGGAAGAGAGGGAGAAGACCGAGGAGACAGTGCGGACCAAAGCATATTATAATTATAAATGGCAGACACTGGAAATTGTCCCACATTAAATTGTACTGTCGACTATTTGTCTTTTTGTTGCAGCATAAGCCTCCTTTTCCAATGAAGATTTAATTAATGAGCTAAGTACAAATTACTTGTTAAATCACCGGACCATAAACTTATAAATTTTCATATAATTATAATATAATTAAAATCAAATTGTACTTATTGAACAGTAAGTATTCTGAAAGCCCTCTCATTATATATTTAATTTTAGTTTTTTTTCCTATGAATAAGGCCCTTCCAATTATTATTTATTTGGTTCACATAGATAGGGAATGAAGAAATAGTTTATTTTCTTGGGAATGATGACCTGACATTTCCCTTTGTCTTTTAAATTTTCGGGGCGTTATTTATTACGTCATTCGCATGACGATATCTCCCCCCATTAACCAATAAGGCTATGCTCTCCTTTCATCCAATGGCAAATATGTGATTTAACGAATAGGATTAAACTGTGTAAAAAAATTAATTTTACATGTTCACCGAGTGTAAAAAAACGAATTTTGCAATGAGGATAGATCTAATAAAAATCTTAATCGATAAGGGTGGCAAACATCCTTGTATCGAAAATCACGAATGCCTTGAAAGCCAGATCCGAGGTGAGACTGGCCATCCCCTCGTCCAATCCGTCGCTGTCATAGCCACCGGGCATCGTGAAGGCAACTGCGAAGGCGACCGTGGCTATGAGCATTGCAACGATGAGGTGGATCTCCAGCATGCTGCCTTCTTCGTGAGAAGAGGTCTCTTTGTGGCCGAAGTTCTTGGTCGGGACTATTTCCCGGGTGTTTGGTTTAGCTTTGGGAAGGGACTTTGAGCCCCGAAAGCCCCTTTCCAAAATGCTAGAGTGTTTGGTTCAGCATTTGACCTAGCATTGACCAAATGCTAGCATTCCAAATGCTCAGCATTCCACAAACGCTACTGTTCACCAATAATTTTTTTTTTTAATTTGAAGCTGTTCTTCACCAGGCAACCGGCGAGGGTGGCCGGCGAGGTCGGGCGACCACCGGCGAGCCAGATCTATCTCGCCGGCAGCCGTAGGCCCTCGCCGGTGGCCGACTCCGGCGATGGTAGGTTTTGTTTTTTTTTTTTAATAAATAAAATAATTCTCAAAGTCCATTTGCAAAAAAAATTTACTAAACACTATATTTTGGCCAAAGTAGCTTTACAAAATATTTTTACCAAACACCATTTGCATTTCCCCAATGGGCTTTCACCCAAAGGTATTTGCATTCCCCCAAGTAGCATTTTCAAAATTGAACCAAACAGGCCCTTCATCGGTCCTCCATTCAGCATCTTCTTTACGTTTGTATTGACCAAGGGTTGCATGTCTTGTAGGCCGCAGGTCTCTTTCAACACGTAATAAACCTTTGCAGCTGCAGAGGTTTGAATACTATTCACATATTGCTAATTTGAGGCATACAAGCACTGCCTTGTCA